TGGGGCGGAGAAATGCCGAAGGAAAATAGCCTCCACCATCAAACACTAAATATCGGACGTCGTCGCCAGCAAAAATTCCCCCCGTTTTATGGAAGAATGAGCCGAAGCCGACAACAATGCTTCTGACTCATTGTTTATTATTTTTTTGGGTCAAAATATATATATATATAGCTCTTTCAGTCATTTTCTCGGGCCAAGTCGGAATGGTGGATAATGGCCGCTAAAAAGGAGAGGCTCAAAAAAGGCCGCAAAAAAAGTCCCTTTATCGAACCTTCCATTTTTTCTGAGATTTTAAAGGCTCGAAAAATAGTGGAGAAAGGGAAATGCAGCAAAAAGGGTGCATATGGGCTGAGAAAATGGCGCAAAAAGGTAGCCTTCATCACCCTAAAGGAAAAATTTTATGGAGCCTTTATGAACCCTCGGAGGGTCCTTCCAACTTTGCCTATGTTGTACGGAGTAAAGTGGAAAATGATTTTCTGGAAACGTTAAAAACTGCTATGAGTTCATTACTTCCGATTTTTTGATTTTGACATATTTTATAAGAAGCGCCAGATATGGAAGAAGAAGCTTCAATGTTAAAAAGAGTGATTTTAGTCATTTTCCACTACATTTAATACATCCTCACGTTACAATAATTTTTTTATGAACCGAAAAAATAGGTCTCTCAACTCGCACCTTGACTCGGACCTTGGTAACCTGACGCGATTCGGACGTGTCGGAGCATTTCTAGTGACCACTTCAGTAGCGTCAGCACCCTTAAGTGATCCCTAAAATTACTCAGAAACGTCTGGTTCTCGTCACCGAGGTCCAAGGAAAGAGCACAAAACAGTTAGGAGCAACGGAAAGCGAGAGATCAGTGGAAGCCTAAAGAGACGCCAGACAGTGAAAGCCCTCTCTTTCTCTGGCGTATCTTCAGGCCGCTGTTGTTCTCTCGGTTAGTTCTGTGATACCAATTTTTCCCTAAAGTACATATATGCGCTTATTCTCGGCCAAAAACTGTCGAAAATTCTAAATTTTCATACTTTTTGATGGCTAAATTTGATTACTCGTTGTAAAAAATATGAAGAGAACAAATAATGTCGTAGATAACTTTTAAAAGCTGATAGAACTTAGAAAAAACCCGCATTATATTTTCCTGAACTAAAATGAAGGTATATTATAGGAGAGTTCTTACAAAGGACCTTACACAAGTTTAAAAAAAGGTTGAAATGAAAAAAAATTGGAAAATTTCAAAAGGAGAGTTTCAATTTATCTATGCCTTCTCAGAGTAAAAATATTTATGAATAAGCCCTCAAGACGAGTTTTTTCAATGCCTTATTACCGCTTTTCTCTCAAAAAAAAACCTCTCAACTCGTATTTTGAAAAAAAAAGAAAAAAAACAAAAGGAGTACTGAGGCTTCAAAAAATTCCTTTTTTCTCTCTTATTTGAATAATTTTAACAATATTTCACATTCCTATCACAACCCGATCTCTTTCCCATCAACTTCAAGCGCTCTCTTCAAGCATGAAAAAGAGAAAAAAAGCTCATTTCAAAATGCATGAAACTTCTCTTTTTTTTTTTGCTGGGCCAAGTCATGATGAAGTGAAGATAGTGGATTTTTCCCCCATTTTCAGTTTTTTTTTTCTGGGTTTATAGGGGTGATAAAGGACCTAAATTTTCAATCAAACATAAAATATCCTTAAATCAAAGTTCTAAACACCTAAAAAGGCCCATTAAATTAATAAAAAAAAAAAATGATTAAAACACTGAGAAACTTTTTAGTGGCCACTATAGAGGCTGGCCAAGGACTACTTGGAAAGGACACTGAAGTGGCCACTAAACCCACCTCTATAGCGGCCACTATCTTCCGTTTTAGTAGCCACTATAGAGGTTCTCTATTTAGTGTCCACTTCAGTAGTTTTTCATCCAGTATTCCTTCCAGTAACTCTAATAATTTTAAAACAAACAGATTGGATCAGTTATGTTGATCTATTGACCCCTAAAGTGGCCACTAAAATTTTCAGTGGTCTAGTAGTAGCACTTAGACCTCTATAGTGGCCACTAATTTTCAACCCCTTAAGTGGGCACTTATTTGACTACTATAGCGGCCACTAAAACGTCAAAATCCTATAGTCGCCACTAAAAATTTTCCCAGTAAGCCGTCAATACTAATGAATAACTTCGTGTCAATTTTGTTCTTCCAATGTTTTCTACGATACCAAAAGAAAAAAATATAAGGAAATCAAAGCAGGAAACGAGAAAAAAGGACAAACAACCGATCAATAATACCTCAACCTCGAAATTTGAGAGAAGAGGGAGAAGGGACAGACGGGTTTCCGCACACAACAAGGAAAAAACCTAGAAAACTATAAACAATCAAGGTTCATTTGGCCTTGAAAAACCGTCTTCTCCTACTTCCGCCATTAATTTGTTGTACCAGGCTGAAATAAATAACTAACCTTTCCAAAAACCACTCATTTTCAACTTCTTTCGATTATTTCTCACATTAAAAACCACTACTCGAACGCAAAAAAACAGCTCAAACTTCAAATCTCAGAGCGAATGGCTAGCGGAAAAATCGATGGCGGGCAGAAAAAAAAATAAAAAGAACTGAAAAAAGTGAGGCGAGCGTGAAGTAGAACAAACAACTCGAGGGTTCAAACATTAGGGGTGCCAAAATAAATGTTGATTTTACCAATGAGGAATGTAAACAACATTTTATGCTCTTGTTGTATTTTTTGGATCAAATTGGAGAAAATATAGCTGTTCAGGAACTGGTTTCCATGTTTTCAATAAATTAGCATGCAAAGATATAATCTTGAAGATTTTTGAAGTTTTTTAAAAAAATTATTTCTGCTAGAAAAATCGGTTCGGTTTTTCCACTTCAAGCTTTGGAAAAAAACTAACAAGCCAATTAAAATTTCATTTTCTTAAAGCTACTCTGAATGCTTTGCAAAAAGGAAGATTGATAGAAGTAGACGGAAAATAATAGTTTCAAAATCGTCGAAAAAAATATCATGAATTTTTTTCTTTGCTTATTCGAAAAAAAATAAATTTCCTTTCACAGAATTTTGATGCCGGGAATGATTTTTCGATTTTTTTACTAGTAAATTATTCTAAAAAAATCCGAACCTCTAGTGCAACTAATCTAAAAAAATAATATAACTTGAAAATAGCCCTCTTTTTCAATTTTTGAAATTAAAAAAATAAATCTTCACTGTTACTTCAAAGTTGTGAAAAAAAATTCAGTGCGAATCGGTGAAAATTACCCTTTTTTTATTTCAAAATAGGAATAACTCAAAAAAAGAAAAAAAATAATAAATTTAACCTACTGAAAACTTTATATATAAGTTATATGAGAAGAAAGCCGAAATTTTCAATTTTCTAAATTTCGCCTCAAATCTTATCACTTCTTGTCAATTTTTGAAGTTCTCTAGAAAATTTTTCTCTAGACGCTATCAAAACCCTAAATCCATCCAAAAAAATTCAATTAAAATCGACCAAAAACCATGGAAGCCAGTTTTCTCTCGGCGTTCCCTTGTTCTAAATCTTGTTAAACATCCAACTAAACAAACAAATTTTCAAAAAAAAGGGTGAAAAAAAGAGGAAAGTCAAAACAGACGTCGTTTTGTTTGTGTTGAAGCGGGGAAATTCGTGTTGTAATGTTCAGAGATTGATAGGAAATGAAATGGGGATTCGCAACATTTTTCTCCGCTATCTCTCTCTCTCTCTCCTATCTTTCTTGTTTTTTTAACTAAACTGATAAGGTTTGCGATATGAAATACAGATCAAAAAAACAAAGTCCCAGCAAAAAAAGTCTATTTGTATAATCATATTTTTACTTTCTTTCAATTGCGCAGTTTATGAAATTATCGTCTTAAATTTCAGCTTAATAACCTATTTTTTTATCTAAATGTAGAGAATTTCACATTTATAGTCGTGAAATTTTTAATTTTTTTAAAATCGTATTTTTAATTTTTAAAAAAAACGGTTGTAAGCCCTAGAATATCAAAAAAAATAATAATTCTCAAGCTCAATTTCAATAAAAAAATCGTGAAACCATGATTTTTTTCGCCTCATCAAAAGCTTGGCCAACAAATTGAAAAAGGTGAATTTGAAAATGGACCTCCTCAATTTGCTAACAGTCAACTAAAAAAAGCACAGAAGTCCAAAAAAATAACTTATTTTTTTCTGAAAAAAATTCGTTTGCGATTCATTTTTTTCTAAAAAAATCGCATCTCAAAGTCGCTTTATTTTTCACAAAACGAGTGTTGTTTTGTTTACAAAACTTACAAAAATTAAGATATGAACTAACTTTATAGTTATTGAACTAGCTCAAAAGCCTAAACTTCGCGATTTTGAAAATCTTGAAAAAAAAAACGTCAGTGGTTTTCCTTAATTTTCAAGCTTTCTCTATTCAACAATTCCGAGATAGATAGTCTCCTTCATCGGATAGAATTTGAAAAAAAAAAGAAATCAAAAAAAAAACAAGCCTTCATGTAGAAAACTTCCACAGCACACAGCATTACTCCAAACCAACCAATTTGCTGTCAACAATGATTTTTTTTAATCGTCGCGGCCGTTTCGAATCGCGTTTTCAATCCCTTTCCATTGCTTTTCAATCAAAGAAGTATAATAGACTTTCGACAGAGAAATTTTTAAACAAAATTCAAGTAAAAAATTCATTGATTCGATTAATCTCACACAAGAATCATGTGGCAAAAAGGCCCGTGGGGAACAAAGTGATTGAGAAAAATGCAAAAAAAGAATATATAAGCATATTGCAAAATGAGCATTCAGAGTGTAAAATTAAAAGGGAATGTCAAAAATACATGAAAAATACAATTGAGGTTTCATCGGAGCAAATCGCGAAGGGTGAGATTTTCATTACAAAGATGTTGATTAAAGGAACAAAAAAAAAATATTAAAAGCGATGTAAACTGGGATATGTCTTGAGTTCTACAAGCAGAATCAAAATAAAATACAAGTTTTACGAGAAAAAAGGCAGTTTTGTCGGCTTTTAATAGTGCCCTGCGTAGTTGTACCGCTGAAAATTGATTATAATGTTACAGAGTGATCTCTTAAACGGTTATAAAAAAACCCCTAGATGCTAAAAAAATAATAATTTATTCAACAGAAAGAAGTAACGTTCAAAAAAATCCCTAAAATTTTTTTTTTCAAAGTTCTGTATTGCATTTTTTTATAAAGTTTCCCTACAGTATAATTTAAATAAAACGGGACTTAAATATGAAAAAAAATTTTTTTCTAAACAAATTACTGATAAAATTCGTTTCAAGCTTTTTCTAACTCACAGTTTTCATGCAATTCCTCCCAAAAAAATCAACTAAAGAGTGACCTTTTTTTCTTTGGAAAAATATATTAAAATGAGTTTTCATTCAAACTTTTCATAATAATACCATAGAAAAACTCACCCAATACTGAGAGTAAGCTCATAGTTCAATAATGAAACGTGAGCGAGACCTAAACCTTGAGAAAACTTCATGAATGAGCCATAATTATCGTTAACGTTATTATCCAGCCTAGTACCACTCCAAAGTTAGATTTTTTATGAAGGAAAAGGTGGAAAAATAACTTTAAAAATCCTTATCTGCTCCACCTTTTTCATTCAAATTCCCCGTCCCATTAATTTTCCTCAACCACGAGAAAGAGCTTGATCACGGACCGTTGGATTAGTGTACCCGTGGTTAGAATAGTGAGGCGAGAGTCGGTCCTGCGAAGATGGCCGGCCAGGCGGCGAGTGCTGGTGCAGGTTCCAGTACGAGCCGTACAGCGAAATTTTCCCGGCCTGAAATTTCCCGTTAGCTCCACCCGCAACGACCAAAAGACCGCGAAATGTCAAGTTAATCGTAAATTTAATGCCGTGTTCCCGCAAAATCCAAAATGATCGTCAGAAAAAGGAGAAGATAGCTGAATTTTTGATAGTCAGAGATAATTTTGCATTTCGCGGGAATTACTTTGAGCACGGCATAAGAATGAGAATCTCTTAACGAATTATTTAAAAAATGATTTTTTTTTTCAAATTCACACCAATCTCAATTTTTCCGTATTTGACGAAAGTTCTAAAAATTCCTTGAAAATTTTGTGAAAAATTTTTTTTTCTTCAAAATAAACGCAGAAAATTGAAGAAAAAAATGTGGATTTTTTTCAGAACTGTTGGACAAAAAAATATATCGAATTATTTAAAAGCAGAACGCGATTCAAGTTGTAGGATATTTCGAAAGCTGAAAACAGGTCCTATAAAAAAACCTAATCAAACATTTCACGGTACTATAAAAAAAAAATTAAACACTTTGAAACAACAAAGAAAAAACAAAGAAGGAAAAATTTGCGAAAAAAATTTTTGTCTAAAAAAATGACGTCATCCTCACTTTGGTGCATACACGTCCGCGCAAACTTGCAAAAGACGTCTACCGTAATCTTTTCAAAAATTTGAAGGTATTTTTTGGAATTTTCTAAAAATATCTTTTTTTGAATGTTATGAAGCCACCAAGTTACTTATATTAGTAAAAAGCCCAACAGTGAAGCCTCATATTTGAAACATTTCCAATTCTCAGTGACTTTTGACTGAAAAATGCTTCTTGAATAAATGAGAATTCTTTCGAATATGAGGCGCGGAAAACCAAAAACTCCCGAAAAAAAAAATCAGGCTGAACTGAACCTGTTGGGCTTGAAGCTGCGGCTGGCCGCTTAGCCGAGCTGCCCGATCCAGGTGATCCTCATAGGTGCTGTCTTTCCTCTTGATTTCATAGGAAGTTGGCCTGACGCCATAGGCCGGACCATACATGGCTCGAAGTTGTGATGACGTGTCTCTGGAAGGGAACGATTTATCGAAAATCTAAAAAAAAGAATTAAGAGAAAATATTCTGGTTTCTAAGTCTTAGTGTGAGTTCAGCCAGTTATTGAAAAATTAAGGACTTTAAAGGCGCATTAGGCTATCAGAAAAAAATTAGTTCAATCTGCGCCTTTAAAGGAGCATAAAAAAACATTTATAAACGATCTTAAAGGAGCATACGACTTTTTTCCAAACAAGCCGCGCATTTAAAGAATCATTAAAGTATACTCTGTTCATAGTTTGAATGTCAAGCAGCAAACTCCGCCCCCACATTGCTCTGTGCATATCTCGCCTTCTGATTGGCTTGATCCACGCATAAGGGGCGGAGTTTGAGCTTGAAACTCAAAATCCTAAAAGCCTATAATTTTTTTCAAAAAGCAAAAAACTTCAGAAAATAGAAAAAAAAAGCGATTTTTTTCTTGAAAATGTTAGTAAACTATCGACTACTCCTTCATACAACCCCCGAAAAGCAACAGAAATATTTGAAAAAGCAACAAAACCAAGAAAAAAGAACCAAAAAAAGCAAGCACCTGTGATGGTAGTAAGCATAACTCGTTGTGGCGAACCTCTTTTTACAGACGACGAAAAGAGCGATGAAAATGAGGATGAGCATCCAGACGGCGATTATCGCCACTGGCAGGATGATCGCCAGTTCTGAATGGGATCAGTAAAAGTCGAAGTAAAACCTTCTTTCGATAGTAAGTGATAGTGGGAAACTTTAAAAAAAAGTATATTTCAACTCTGACAAAAGAAATCAAGAGAAAAACGAGGTAAAATCCGATAAATTTCATTTTTGATGTAGAATCGACATGCCTGGAAGCAGATTTCGTTGAAGAAAAAAATCCCATAGTTTCATAAACACGATAAAAATGCTCCTTTTTTGCCGTAGCTGATCCTCGACTGGCTTGAGCCATGTAAAAGGGTCCTGACACGGTGATAAAAGAGACAGTGTCTGGTTGGTGGAGAGCACAGACAGGCCACGCCTCCTTAGAGTCCCAAGCTAGCCGTGAATCGGCTATAGAATAACGTCCAGAATTCGTGAAAATCAAATTGACAAAATCAAATTTCTAAACTGCTTTTTGGATTTTACTTCTCCTTCAAAAAAAAATTCCAACTGTCAGAAATTTTTAGAAGAACGACTTCAGGATCTTCTAGCCTTCTTTTCCCTTTCCCAATACCAACTTCGATCGCTCTGTTCCTCAGCAACGGGCGGCGTCTTGTTCGTTGGCGCCGTCACAATATTCAGGGGCGGTCTTCGGGGCGGAGCCGCAGAAGACGCAACTGGACGGGGTCGTGGCGTCGTCGTCGTTGTGGTCATCTGAAGTTCTTCCTTTCAGGGTTCCGAAAATCTAAGCTTGATACCGCCTTGCTCGAAGTCGTGCTGAAGACGAAGATCTGGCTGTTGGCTTCAGTTGGACTAGCCGACGTCAATTCCTTGAAAACCCAATTTTTTTTAAAATTTGATAGAAAAAAAAACCTTCTCAGTCACTTCGCGAACCTCCTCCACGCCGAAAAGATCTTCAGCGTTCTCGTCGGTTTCCTCCTCGGTCTCTTCAGTTTCTTCAGTCTTCTGCGGAGCTTTGATCTCCATTTTTGGGGTCGTCTCATCTTCGGCGTCGGCATTGAAAGTTCCGGCAAAAGAAATCGTTTCTTCTTTTTCTTTTTGAGCAGCGACGGTTGTAGTTCTAGCCGTTGTAGTAGTCGTGGTCGTGGGAGGTTCAGTAGCTTTTTCGGCCACCAAGGATGGCTGGAAAAATTTCATGCGTTTAAAAAAGAGGTTCAGTCGATGAGTATTGTTTTTTGCAGTCTTTATTTCAGAAATTCAGCTTTTGCGAAAAAAATTCAAAACTTTTCTTATCGACAACCTTCAAAAAAAGAAAAAATTATTGATTTTTAAGATTTGAACACAAAAAATGATCAATCTGCCACTATAGTCTGTTCAGGTTTTGAATGTCAAGTGCAATGACGTCATTCAAAAACACTCTGTGAATGGCTCGCTCTCTGATTGGTTTATCGTACCATTAGGGGCGGAGCTTGAGCGACGATTTGACATTCAAAATCTGAACAGACTATACTCCGTTTGTCGTGCAAGAAAAAAATCTTGGAATTTTTCAGTTTTTTTCAAATTTTGCGGCCGGGCGTCTAAGCTAAGTGCGCTAAGACAGAACATTTCGAGATAAAATTTTAATTATTTGATTCTTAATGACGTGGACAAAAAAACGGCGTCTGAAGATTTTTCTGAAGTTCAGCTCCGATAATTTTTTACAAGCGACCGAAATTCGCCCCTTAAAAATGTGACCCCGGCTGAATCGCTCAAAATTTTGTCATGTTCCAAATGATTTTTCAAAAAAGCCGCCAGAGAGTGGAAAAGATAACTAAAATGTGGATAGAGTCAGAGATAACTTTGCAGCGGAAGCCACCTTAAACACGTGAATAATTGTATTTTTTACTCCTAGACTCACCGCTTTGATTGAGAAATCAGGGCGAGGAGCCTTCTTCTCGCTCATCAGCTGAGGGACGACGGTCATGAAAGGCGGGAAAGTGGCTTCGAAGGCGTCCGGCCCGACTTCGAAGTCTTCGTTGGCCAGGGAGACGATCGGTCGGTGCGGGGTGCTGCCAAAGCGAGGCCTTGGTCGGGTGGCTTTCGTCGTCGCCCGTTGTGCTTGGATCGGAGGACTCGTCACCGACATCACCTGAATTTCATGTTTTTTTGTGTCAATTTTTTTGAATAAAGGTATTTTTAAAATTATGCTACACTTTTTGAAACTCGATATCTGCAAAAAACGTATGATAACCTAATTTTCTTGTAAAAAGTTGAAATTCAAATCCAAAAAATCAGTTTCAAAGGAAGAAAAAAAGTGCCAGTACGAATGCAAAAAGTTTAGATTATCACCTTTAAATCAGCAAGCTTCCCAAAATTCAAAAGCTTGAGAAGCTCAATGGGAAAATGATAAATTGATTTCTTCTGTGAAAGAGTGTCCTACAATTGGAACTTTTTCGAAATTTTTAAACATATTCATACTAATTTCTGACAGACAAAGTATACGGGAAACCATTTTTTTCAAGTTTCTATTAAGTTTTATAAAGGTTTTTCATAATTTAAAAAAAGTAATTTTACCAGTCGAAACACATGAAGGACTCTTACTTTTTTTCGAATTTTGGGGGTTTTTTTTCAAGTTCCTGTTAGTTTTTCTAAATAGTTCAGGAATCTGGAAACATTTTAACATTCAAAATAAAAAATTCAATTGAAAGGAAAGTACATGAAGGGCTCAATTTTTGCGAAGTTTTTTTCAAGTTTCGTCTTTTTCCAAAGTTTTTTTGAGAATCTCAATGAGATCTTCTAACACCTTAAGTACAAAGAAAACTTTTTTGTGAATTTTACGCAATTTTCCATTAGGAAAAAGATCAAGCCCCACATTTCCTTCCGGCGCAAATCTCGACAGCGAGGGTCTGATGGTTCCAGTCGGCTGGTCGATCCGGAAAACGCCGGCTGATGGTAGAGTCAGATCCTCCTTCTTTTCTTCGGTCAGTTTGCTGGGAAGTTTTGGCTTGATTTCGCCTGAAATAAAAAACCAATTTTCTTCCCTAGAAAAATAAAAAACTGACGCGCTCCAGCAGCAGCAACTTTATCGCAGAACGGCGGAACTTGCGTCGGTAGGGCGCAAGGCGTCAAATTCGGTTTATCTGTAGAAATTGGAAGAAAATCAGATAGATCAACTTTTTGTGTACCGATTCGATAAAGCCAAGTTCCGGGCTGCTTGACGTTGCTGAGCTTGGAAAGTTGAGTTATGGCTGGGGTGCCGGAAGCCGGGAAAATGATGGAAGAAGCCGCGTCCTTGGATAGGATACCGGCCTAGAGATGAGAAAATTGACTCAAAAAAATTCCAAAACTTTTCAAATTTTACTTTCCTTCGAAGAAAATTCTACCAAAGCTATAGAAAACTACCATTTTTTTTTATTAACCTCGAGATTTCTTGCCCTACCTGGTTTCAAATGAAGTCATTTTCGCAGGTAAGTATTTGAAATCATCTTAGTATATTATTATTATTATTATTGAATCATACGGTCTTCTATAAAACTTTAAAAAAATACGATTAAACATTCTTGGATGAACTGGAAATCGTACCGAAAAAGTCGCTATCTTCATAATTTTTTTAAGAGTTTCTTTCAAAAAAACTCATTTCTCTTTCATAGAACTTTTCGAGCCATTCCAAACGCGACCCGAATCAATCACACACCTCAGCAGTATTACCCCACGGCATATCCTTGTAGAGGATCTCGAGAAAGGTGAGTTTCTCCTGCTTGGCGTTCAGGCCGCTGACGATCGCCGTCTGGAAGGTGTTGCCCTTGGGCGTCTCTCCGTCGGAAACGTTCGAGTAAGTGACAATCAAGACGCTTTTCGGATCGAAGGACTGGTCGTTGTAGTGGTCGCCGATGGTTCTTCGAAGCCTTCGGAGGACTTCTTCGTCTGCAAAAAAATGTTCAGGTTGAGTGAATTTTGGACAGGAGTAAGATCTTGAAGAACACAACAATTGAGTGGAACTTGGGTAGAATTTCATGCAGAATCATTAAAAATGGACCTTCAACTTCCTGAACGGCGATGGCTCCCCCTCGGCTCAGGTCGATCGGAGCGAAGAACGGAGCGATTCCGACGACTTGCATATCTCCCAACTTGGCGCCGTCCTTCTTCACGTCGTTCGTCGCGATGATCCCAGAAGAAGTGATCTGAATTAGAACTTGTGAAGAATTACACACACATTCTCTTTGAAACGAGGTTCATAAAAAATTTTCTTTCTTTCAATAGCTCAGCGAGAGATGAAAAAAATTCTTTTTTTAAAATAAAAAAACTACACAAACCGGGCCGGATATTCTTCATGAAATTCGAAAAAAATTCCAGTAATTACTTCCTTTGAAAACAAAATGTTACTTATTAACCTGTGAAAAGCTTGAATCGTATAAAATTCATGAAGAATTGAACTATTAGAGCTAATTTTTTCGAATTAAAAGGAAAAACAGTTTCCAAAAAATTACTTTTTACGGTCATGCCGTGTATTAGAAAATGGCTTTGACAAAAACGTATTTTTGACAAATTTTTCACGCTCAGAGTTTCAAAAAAATCATCATCGAAGCTGTATCAATTAGGCACAAATTATTTATTATGAAAAAAACTGAATTATTTTTGATCATTTATTTTTTTAAATGGCTTCAGAAACAAATTAATCAAAGCCTGAAAGTACAAGTTCAACAATAAATTTTTGTCAAAAAAACTGGGAAAATTTTAAAAAGAAGATTTCCTCCAATTTTCCTTGATTTACATTTTCTTAGCTCGATACTATCCAAATTTTGATTCCCTCAATATTTTCAATGTATTCACCGTCAACTTATCCATCGTCTCTCCGAAAATCTTGACAGGATTCTTCAACTGCCAGTCGATCTTCGAGTTCTTCTTTCTCGGCAGCTGCTTATGGGTGTCGTAAGGGAAGAGCATCGAAGAGATGCATTCAGAAGATCCATCGCCTGAAAATCAATCAATGGATTCTTGAAACATCAAAGAAACGAACCAGAAAATCCATCTTTGCATTGGCAAAAGTAGCGCCCTGGGGTGTTTGTACAAGTCGCGTGTTCGTGGCAAATCGTTGAATTTTTCGAGCATTCGTCAATGTCTTAAAACAAGAAAATAATTATGGAGAAGCTCTATTTTTTTAAATAAAAAAATTGGTGGAATTTCGCTACTCTGGCAAAAAAAGTTTATGCTCCTTACATTATTTAGCTTTTTAACTCAAAAAAATTCCAGTAGGCTAGTAAATTTTTCCAATTAATTTTTTCTTAATCTCATTGAAAAATTTGCTAATTTTAATTTCAAGTCACAAGTGCTTATCTTGAACTTTTTTTGATCGTAGTTCGAAAAAAATCTGTTTCCGCCGGAATTTCCCCTCGATTTTTTTCAACTTTTTTTGAGCCCTTTTTTTCAGTTCCAATAATAATCAGAAATGTTCAGTTACAATGAAAAAAACCCTGTTTATAACATGAATACAAATCGATGAACCCTTTCTCAAAAAAATATTTTGTGAATTCTGAAATATTTCCCATTTTTTTCTTGGACGTCTGAGAAGCCCAAAAAATTTAATATTCAGTCAGAAAAGGTCCATTTTAATACTTCTGAACAAAATTTTCGGAAAACTCACCGACACACTTCTTGTAGCCATCGCCTTCGAACCCGGCAATACACTGGCATTTTTGGATCGGCTCTCCACAACGATCAAAGTCATTGAAACTGAGGGCGTTGGGGGCGCACTGGACCTTCGTCGCGCACTTGTCTTGGCCTGGAAACAATTATCTTCATCAGTTTTTTTTTTATTTTCAAAGAATACAACATTTTTTAAGGGTTTCTTTTAAGAAAATCCCTCAAAAACATAAAAAAGTAGAGCAGAACTTTGAAAATGAATCAAATTAGATATGAATCAAATCCTTCTTAAAAGCAGAAACTAAACAATCACTATTGAAAGATTTCTGAAACCTAGGAAATAACGGAAAATTGTTTTTTTTGTTACTTTGCATCTGAAAAAGTCGGGATTATCGAATTAAAATCGAGTTTCAGACCTTCTCGATTTTCAGGGAAATGACGGAAGATTACTTTTACTAAAATGATAATTTATTGACAGTGAACCCTAACGAGCTCACTTTGATCAAAAACTCGAGTGCCTCTTGGAGGAAAATGTACGAAGAACTCGTGTCTTGGCAGATTAACCAGTGAATTTTTTTCTTTAATTTTTAATGATTTGAAATATTAATTCTGCCACTTTTTAAAAGAGACTAAATATAACTGACGAGTTTGACAGGCCTGGCCGGCCCAACAGGTCGCGCATCCTTTCGAGCAACTTCCGGTCAAGGTGTCGCATCGCCCTTCGGCGCAGTGGCAGCAGTGGGCGCAGTCCGGGCCCCATTCTCCGGCCGAACATTCTGGAAAGCAAATAATTTATATGAAATATTCAAAGCTTCAAACTATTGCTTTCAAACCAATTGAAGAATTTTAAAATAAGTAATGAAATTTGAAATTTTTCTGGACAAAAAATAAGAAATCTTAGAATTTTAGAGTTTTAAGAGTCCTTTGGATCTATTTATTAACTTTCCTACAGAAGAGAGCTCATTCTGGAGAGCTCAGAACAGTTCATTTTAGCCGATTTGAAGCACATTTGTGAAAGGTATGAAAATTTCAAATATTGGAGGTTTTTATGAACCCCTTTCAGTTAGTTATGAATCTCACAAAAATCAAAGGCAAAAATCTGAAGTCCAGTTCGAAAATCTACTACTTACCGGTTCAAAAAAGGTAGAATATATTGAAAAACTCCTCAAAATGAAAGTTTTCAAAGTTACAAGGCTTAAAATTATTGAAAAACCACCGAAAAAAAAAATTCGATCGTTTTTTAATCAAAAATGTCCACAAAAAATGATCTCTTCGACCCCAAAATCGATAGTTTTTCGTGACCAGAGAGACAAGGTCTATATACCCTCCAAAAGTGAGCTCAATCAGAAGCTACTAAATTTTCGACTTTTGAGAATCCATAACTCTTTTCACAGACTTCTGAGGCCGGATTTGGAATCAGCATAAAAAACTACATCTAGAAAACATGGTCTCATTCAGAAATCCGAGTGTGAGATTATTCCTCTGATCAGTTGATACCTTGATCACAGGTGTCGCCTTTGATGCCGCCCTTGCAGCTGATGACCCGCTCTTCGCTCAGTTCGAACATCCATTCGCCCGGGGATTCCCGTGTTTCCGTACTCTTCCAGGTACATGATGTTCGGAGTTCCGGAGGTCGGCAGCTTGAAGTGGCTCGTCGCGTCGCCGGCGTTGAACCCAGACTGGAAAATCATTTTTATGACTTTCTTGTCAAAATTTTCACAATAGTTTCTTCCTTCTAAAGCGTCGCTCTTTGAGAAAATCATCCATTCTTGTTCATAAACTATTAAAATAGCAAGAAAAAAGACGGAAAAAGATCATTTGTCTCTGAAAAATGGTCGCATTTGGAATGGCTAAACTCACGACATTTTTTTCTCATTTTTCCGATACGATTTCTACAGTTTTTCTTTCCCTTTTCGATTTCTGTCCTCCCTATTCCAATCTCAAGAGATCATCCCTCAAAACCTTCGATAAAAATCGGTCCAATTAAAATCGGAAACGATGATGAGGTCACGATAAAAGGGGACACAAATCCAAATATTCTAATAATCTCGCAGCATAACGATCTCTATCATGGGTTAAGAAAAATTTCAGAGAAAAATTTTTTTGAATGAATATTAAAAAAATCATCAGTTGCACTGGAAAAATTAAAAAAGTTTCGCCTGCGATCTAAAACTTTTGAACAAGATTTTTACTATAGCAAAAAAAATCCTGGAGCTTCAAAAATCAAAATTGTTTAATCAGCTTTTCATAAGTTCAAAAAAACCAGAAGACAAGAATTTCCCCATAAAAGTCATATCTATTAAAGTGGTAATATTCCGAAGAAAGATGACTTTAAAAAAAAAACTCCTAGCCATTCTAAAGACAAAAACTTCAAAATTTTGAACGAATATGAAAAATTATCAGTTACCCCGAAAAAATCAAAAAAATTCGCCTGCGATCCATAAGTTTTGAACAAGTAGCCTTTCACTACTGCAAAAAATTCCTAGAGCTTTAGAAATCCCAAATTTTCAAACCAGCCATTCATAAGCTCGAGAAAACCAGAAGACAAGGAATTCCCCATGAAGTTCCTATTTTCGAGGTAAAGTCATTTTTGAGGGGAACTACTCAGGGAAAGGTTGGGAAGCTTCTGCTTTCGGTTCCTCGGAAGGCATTTGGAAGCTTTCCAGCAAGTGGTCGAACGCCTTCCACATAGCTTCACAACACCTTCTACTTACGTGTTACGAAAAAAGCCTGCCGGAAGCCTTCCAGAAGCTTTCCAGCAGGCTTCTGGCAGGCATTTTCATTCTCACCTTCCAAATACCTTTCAACTAACTTTCGATCACCTTCCAGAAGCTTTCCCAAGACCTTCTAGCTTCCCTTTCTCAGGATTTGCCTAAGTAATTTGAAAAATAGAAATTCCTAATTATTCTAAAGACAAAAACTTCTTCTCAATTCTCACCTCAGCCCCCTGGGTCCAACCAATATTGCTGTAGATGAAGTTGGCAAAAGTTCCATTGTTGGTGATGAAGATGGCGGCTTGGAAAGTGTTCGTATTCTGTACAAATTTCAAGTTTAACACAGTTTTTCTTGAATTTTCAACTTCTTCCGGCAACGCGGCAGTGTTGAGCGGTTGCATCTTGTCCCAGGTTACAATGAGAGCCGAGACGACTTTCACGTCTTTGTCGTACTGGTACCGGATCTCAGACTGGCCTCGTTCGATTACTCTTCCTCCTGTAGGGAATAAATTGAATAAAATGGAGAATGGGAAGTTTTTCTTGGTTCACAGGCAAAATCTAATTGACCTCAAAAAGCCTTAAAAAAGAGTCTAACGCTCCTTTTGGAGTTCCTAAAAAGGTGTCAAAAGTTTCTCGGAATCCCCTTTTTTTCGCCTTTTTTTTCTACTTCCTTAAAAGGTCCTTTTCAGGATAAGGTCTAGGAAAAAAGGCGCCTTTAAGACCTTCTAAAAGCCATTTTTCCGAAAGTCCTTTTTAAGACTTTTTGAACTTTGCATGTGTTTAAGGGCCCTCTGAAGAACTTGTGAAAACCAAAAAAAAATCGTAAATATTTCAAAAATCGCATTATCCGGGAAAAAAAAGAAGTCCCTTTTACGAAAATCGTTAATTAACTCGACAGATTAAAATTCAGAGCGCGTTTTCGACCATTTTTCCAAAATCAGAGTGAAAAAAAAGCTTTAGTCTTTCCTGAAAAAGCAAAGAAACTGTCCGAAATTGAACAGAAATCGATAATAAATGTCCTTAAAAATGGCAAAAAGCGATTCGCAGTCAGCAGGATTCGAACCTACGCGGGCAGAGCCCAATTGATTTCTAGTCAATCTCCTTAACCACTCGGACATGACTGCCATGGCGGGCGCCGAGAGATGTCACTCACTCGTCACTTCCCGATAGTACACATGTCCTCCGTTCCTCAGATCGTTGCGGTTCCAGAATGGGGCGATGATTCGGGTGGCGCTGGGCAGGACGCCCGAACGGTAGGACCGAGCGTTGGCGTCGATTCCGATCGCTCCGTTGGACAGGATCTTCAAAAAACTTTTTTTTTTTGGGGCTTTTTTTTGAATCCTAAGCAGCTTAGGGTTCGAAAAATTCATTAGGCTAGGCTATTAATTCTTAAAAACCAGAAATTTTGGAAAATTGAGACTTTTCAAATCCCATCAAGCATTGATTTCGACGATTTTCTTTAAACTTCAAGGTTTTTTTCTCTGGAAATCAGTAATATCCTGGTAAGAAAAATTTTTTTAATGCTTTTTCTAGACCCTGAATCGTTTCCCTTTTAATGATTTTTTTGACGCTTTTTTTCAAAATTTTTATTGGAATAAGGATTTTAAAAAATATTTTTCTTCCTCTTTTTTTCAGCACCTTCTCCATTTGAAAAAAATCTTATCAAGGTTCAAAATTATGTAATTTTTCATAAAATTCCTTCAAATAAACCAAGAACTTTGGAAAATTTGAAACTCACATAAATCGTCTTGTACTCCGCCCCATAGAAAGTGATTGGATGAGTAAGATCAATCTGGAAAAAAAAAGAACTCATTAAAAAAAAGCAAAAATCGATGAGGACCACCTTTTTGCCAACGTCCAGTGCCTGTGGCAGTTCAGAATCTTGGGCTTTTGGGCCGTATTCGAATAATCGGCTGGAGAATAACGGGGCTGTTACCTGTAATTTATATAATCATTACTAGTTCAGGTGATTTTCTTTTACATAAAAGGTGAAAATAAAATTTTAAAAATCATGAAATTCGTTCAGTTTAGAGTGAGAACACTGTCAACCAAAACTCAAGTTTTTGAAGAGCTTTCCTTCTGGAAACAAAAAAAATAAAAAAAATTAATATTAAAAAAATTTAGTCCCTCCCGCAATCTGAACCATCTTCCAATCCATTCAAAACACTTCAGAATATGAATAAATTTCGTTTTCTTTTCCTCTGACCGGGTGACCCAAAAAATGCAGCAAATACAGGAAGAAGTACAAATAGGGAAATTTAGTGCAATAAATATTTGCCCATTAAAAGCGGGACTTCTGAGGAAGTGAAGTTGGTCTTCTGGTCGGAGTGAAAATTGGAAAAGAAAAGAATTTCTACAGTGTTCCCGGAGAAGGGCCTAGATTTCACTCCACTCGCTGTATAGTTCACTTTCCAGCTTTTTTTGAAGACCCAAAGTTTCGTTCTGACTTAGAAACCAAACATGGGAGCTTTCGACGTCATCTACCTGTATTCTGACCACGTCTTCCGAATTGAGGCGTTCGAGAAAAAGAATAATTTTGTACAAAAGTCCCAAACTTCTTTTTTCCTTAAATCCGAAAAAATGGAAGGCTCGAAAAAGGGACTCTCTTTGCTACCTTTTTGCGGCCTTTTTTAAGCCTCCTCCTTTTAGCGACCATTATCCGCCATTCCGACTTTTCCCGAGTAATGGAAAAATCGAGCTTCGGTATCATTATTCGGTTTTTCGGTGTCTGAATATTTTCTATGGTTCTGGATTTTTTTTACGATCAGAAGCGTTTGGAGATCTCCCAGTTTAGTTTTCCTAGAAGCTGATCAAAAAATTAGAGCCAAAATTTTCTTTTTAATGTTCTCGCCTTCATAAAAAACTTAAAAATTATTGAAAAATCAAAAAAATCCCTAATTTTTCCATAAATTTCAAGTAAAGCCTCACATTTTACGTGTCCCTCAAAGAAAAAAAATTTTCTAGTTCCTCCCATTTCCCTCCAAATCCTTCCCTCCATCGGTTAGAACAAAGAAAACGGCTAAACGAGCACGACCAAAGGAGTTCGTCGACGTGGTCTGGAAAAAAGGGAAACGGAACGCCCAAAAGAGGACCCAAAACATCCGCCTGTTATTGTTTGTGTGCACATATTGCCGCCTGTATTTGTACGCGGGACGTAACCTAATCAGCAGAGAAACCGAGTGAAAGACCGTCACAACGGAAATCCAACCCATTATCGCTTTTGTTTGAACCTAGGTATCTTCTTGAGCATAAGGTAAACAGTTATCACAAGGAAGGTGAACTTACTTTTTGGTTGAGAACCTCCAGAAAATTGTCCGGAGCACCCATTTAGATATAGTCTATGTACCACGACTTGGAATTTCACCGAACGACATTCCGCTGTTCCGCTGCGCGCCATTAATTTTTTTTTTTCTTTTATTAAGGGACTTCCATGTGCTCCGACAGTAATAACAATCAATTGAAAGCGGGATTTAGATTCGAAAGACGCTTCGCGAACGCACGCAGCGGAATGTCGTTCCGTGAAATTTCAAGTCGTGACACACAGACTATACCAGAAGATCATTCTGAAAGTCTCAACCTGCTCAACTTCTTATTTTACTGGAAACAAGGGCTCAAAGCCCCCGAAATATAGTTCAAAATACGTTTTAAAAGAACAGAAAAGAAAAAGCTACCGTAAATACACCTTTTGCTCTATAAAACTGCAAAAAACGAAGATCTTGGAGCGACGATGCTCAATTATGACCTATTTCGGTATAGGATATGTTCGGCGGGAAGAAAAACGTGACAAGTTGGCGCGGAATAGGCTATAGCATATTTTTTACGGATTTTGAAGGTTTTCTTCGACTTCGAGGTAGCCTTGATCAAAAAAAAGAAAATTTGTAGAGATTGAAACTTTCAGGACCTTCCTCTGGTAGAGCAAGGAGTGTTCGGGCAAAGTTTCAGAATAATTAAAAGTAAAATGAACTTCCTCGTCAGCTTCTCAAAATCAAAGCTTTAGAGGCGGTTGTCCTAAAGGTTTACAAGCATTTGTTGAAGTAAGAATTCGTAAAAAAAAAACAAGTTGAAGGATGTAAAAAAGTTTTTCACGAAGAAATAGCTACAGAAAAACAGCTCAGGCCCACTAAAAAGAAGCGGCTCAAAAAAGGCCCCATAAAGGCAGCAAAAAGGGTCCCTTCATCGAGCCTTCTAGAATTTTGAAGGCTCTGGAGATGGTGGAAAAGCAAGGAGGCTGCAGAAATGGTGCATAAAAGCCCAAGAAATGGCGCAAAAAGGCAGCAAAAAGGAACAATTCTATTGAGCCTTTTCCGACCCATTCGATGATCATAGAAGCTATTGAATAATTATTTACCGAAATATTGATCTCTTTGGGCTGAATCTGCCGTGTATTCCTTGACTTGGCGGCTCGGAAGGCCTCGAGGTCGTCCCATTTCTCGTCGATTCGCATCCTCGCCGCGATTCTTTCCGGGTCCATCCGCATGGCGGACGACGTCGTCCAGCTCGCCAAGAGGAGAAGCGCCGAGAGCTGGGGGACCCTGCCGAGGGTCACCCAACGTGTTCGCATCTAAGCCTGCAATAGTCTCTATTATGAATTGTCATAATATCGGATACACAAAAAAACAGTTCTTTCCTGGGAAACCCTTAAAAAAACAAATTCCAAAAAAAAAATGAGAAAATGTGAGGAGAAGAAAGTTGTGAGTATGATGAAATTTTTTTCAAAAACAGGAAAATCGTGACAAGATTCTTTTTTTAGAATAGACTTTCAAAAATTTAGAATTTTTTTCATTGAAATGACATGAGTGACCGTCCCTCAGGAAAATTTGTACTTCTACAAAAAGTGTTTAAGAAAAATTGAAATTTCGTAAAGGATTTAGTGATGGCTTCAGTCACGTTTTAGGCCCTCCAAAAAGGCCTATTTTATACTTTTTGTAGAGTAAACTACACTAAAAATATGCCTTTTTAAGAAGAGCTCTAAAAAAAACTTGCTAGAAGTCGGATTAAATCAGGACTCAGAGATTTTTGTCCGATTTCAGGCCAAAGTATTGACAAGGAAAAACTTTTCCCTAGATGAAATCAGCTTTGATTTAAAAGAAGACTGAGCACCACATCATAAAAAAGTTTATTCGAATTTTTCAAAATTAAAAATAATATTCTAAGTTTCCAAATCGGGAAAATGATTGAATTAAATCAAGGAATGACAAAAATTAACCCAGGACTTTTTTAACCAAAGGGGGAGCACATGGAAACTTGAAAAATAGATAAAACCGATGAAAATTCAAGGAAAAATGGATAAATATTCAATTTCACTTTGAAGATTGAAGTTAACTTCACAAAAAAGTAAGAAGATAACGTTTCAAAAAACGAAAAAAAGCTCGTCAAAGACTAAATAATCCGATTTTTTTTTTGAGAATGAAGTCTTAAAAAAAGTATGATGACGAAGTTGCAACCATTGGAAAAAAAAAGCTTGATAAGAAAAAAAAATACGCGAGAGAAAAATTGAGGCCGTTGAAATGAAAACAAGTAGGACTCCTTCGAAAACGAATAAATGAATGGAGATCCGAACGGTCGATAAGCCTGCGAAAAAGCCGGAGCTTATAATCGTTTTCAGATCGTATGATAGATAAATATTAGAGGGAGAAAAAAACAAATTTGACCACATCTTTTTAGATGAAAATAATTCAAGTTTTACTCCAGGAATCTTTTTGCAATCATTGGTAGTTTGTTGGAAACTCAAAAAAATTATTTTTTTAGTGAGAAAAAAAGCGAAGAAAAAAAACCTCAAACCAGGATTTGAAAAATCGGAAATCTTAGAAGCAGAAAAACCAACATATTCTCCTTCATAAATATCCCGTAGAAACTTAGAAGTTATGCGTTATCAGTGAAAATTGATTAGTTTCGAAAGAGTTCTGAATATTTCGAAAAAGCTTCCTTCTAATGATCTTTTAGTAAGAGAGCCTTGTAGCATTTCCGACAAAGTTCAAGATTGTAGGAGCCCTGCAAAAGTTGACTCATCTCTACCACCCGAGTAGTCGGTCTTCCTTTCCGCTCTCGTCCGAGGTTCAATCCGACGCCCGTCAGCCCTGGACAAGCTGGGCGCCGTACTGTTTCTACATGGAGAAGCAGCGATCGTCGGAAACTCTCTGAAGTCGTCTACTACTATCACAAGAGAGGCGAGATGCTCTACACGCCGTCTACGCTTGATCAACGACAGTTTCGCGAACCGACAAACAACTCTTCAATTATTCCGTGATTCAGCGGAGAGCCTACTCTGAAGACTGAATAAAAGTTTCAAAAGTTGACTAATTTTGATGTTCAGAAAAGCCTGTACGACTCATCGTGAATTCTTTAGTCAGAAAACCTCACAAGCTTATGAATCTTGAGATAACTCGATTGCGAAGACCAAACGGAAGTAACTAAACTGAAAAATTCCGGAAAAGGACCCTGCTTATTTTGATATAAATAAAAAAGGCTGTGAGAATTTAAAAAGTAATGTGGGGCTTTTGATCAAAGAACTATTTATCTAGGATGTTCTCAATCAAAAAATCAGTTTTTCGGATGTACCAATGAAATTTGAAAAAGGAGCTGTTGAGCTAAAGATCGATTTGGATCATCAGGGAATTCTGTAAGATTCTAATGCGTTTTGGAATTCTCAATCACAAAAAAACCTTGGTAAAAAGATCATAAATCAAAAAATCACCCATTGCCACTACCAATCAATACGCCGGAAGTACCCCAAAAGCCCAAAAAGAAAGACGAAGAACCAATAGATCAATTTCGGTGATCAGAAAAGTCTGTAAGACTTAACGATAATCGTGAAACTCTCCCTCAGAAGCTTCTGAATCAAAAAAATCAATCCACCCGAAGTATCCAAACAAAGGAAATCCGAAAAAAGCGTCGTTTTTTTAAAGAAAAATCCTAAATCCATTTCAAATCAGGAAAAACCATGGTCGCAAGCTCATCAATCCAAAGATATCCCAATTTTTGAAGCTAATGAAGATACTGGAAGTAAAAATCTGAAAGATGGAACTGTGCCGAGGTCGGGTCTTTAAAGAAACAAGCTTATTCAAAGATTACTTCGTTAACAAGGCCAATCGATCCACCGGAAGTGCTCAAACGAAAGAAATCGGCAACAAAAAAAGGGAGCCAGCCGTGGACACCTCTTCTGTGTGTTGGCCGGACGGCGTCCGTTTGTGCAAACAGGAGTACCGCCCTGTGAAGAGGTCCCCCCCCTTTACCACACTCTCTCAAAACAACACGGTACCGTATTTCGTCAGGCTGGCAGGTACACATGACCTTATTCAGGGGCGTCCAGACAAGTATGTAAGCGAGAGTTTTGGACGGAAAGCCCCGGGTCATTCTGCTCGAAACTCCGGCCAAAACAACGTTTCATGGCCTGGATTACGATTTTGGAAGTGGGAACTTTTGAAATTCTCTAGTTTTCGAGAAGGGAACTTTTTTTTTTGACCAAAAATAGTTTTTCAAAGCTTCTTTTTTTAAAAATCACAAGATTCGATAGGCTGAAAGCTCCAGATTTGTCATTCACTCAGACAAAGTTCAATGGTCAGAAAATGGTAGAAAAAAAAGTCCCTTTTAAAAAAAACCTCTCATTTTCGCTATGACTATAAAAGCTCAAAAAAGGTATGGAAAAATGGAGTAAAATCAAAAATGACCTCAGTTAAGAACCTTTTTTCACCTAGATCCTATTAAACTCTAGAAAATTCTTTAAAAAAAATTTCAAACTTTGGAATATTCCACACGTATCATTGGCCCAAGATGATGATCTTGAAGTTCTCAAATGGTTAAATTTTCTAGTTTTCAAGAAAAAATGGTTCAAAATCTTCAAAAAAGGCTAATTCCAACAAATTCCATCCAATTTTGAACTATTTCTTCTTGGAATCCGTTGGATTATACAGTTTGAAGCTATCAGAATCATCTTCTAGAAGTCTTTGAGCCATATTTCAAAGAATCTTGAGGTTTCTAGATGTTATAACATCGATGGAAAGTAATTCTTTCAATTTAATTAACAGAAGATTTTTTTTTCCAAATAAAAATGCATTTAAAGGAGGACGCTTTTCAAAATTAACCGCTTTTTAAAGTAAATCAGAATAAATTGCACTTCGAAAAAACCATTATTCCTACTCCAATTGTTTTCTCGACTGAGAAAACCACTAAAAACATCAGAAGGACACCAGATTTCGAGCCAATATGCCAGAAGACGACGAGGAAAAAAAAAGAAACGAAATTTTCTTCGGAAAAAAGGAACGGCTAAGGTCGTCGCCTTTGATTGCTTCTTCGGTGGCGGGAAAAAAGGAAAAAAAACTTTCGTTTTCAATCTAGCCAAAGGGACCAGAAATGTGAAAATTTTCAGATATTTTTGAGAATCCTGAACCTATTTCTGGTACCGAAAATCTTGTGAATATGATGAAATTTAGAAGAAGGTCATCCTTGGTACATAAGGTTTGACGGCAGAAGAAGCCTCAGAACCGACGAGAAAAGCTTTTAAATTAGATGGAACTGTTCTAGGCTCTAACTGAATATAGTAAAAATCTCTCTAAGCTTAAAGAGTAGTTGTAATGAACTTTTAAGCTTCAAACTTCAAGCTACCCGAGATAAAACCAGAAAAAAATATGATCTACAGAGAGCTAGTACAAGATTTGAACGGAAAATACTGGCATAGGTATATCTTTCAAAGCTTGTAAACTTGGAAGAAATACCTAGGAAGCTCAAAATGTTTGAATAAAAAAATTAATAGATGCCGAGAAAAGATAAAATAAAATCTGCTGAAAAAAATGTCCAAAAAAAGGGTTGAGGTCGTCGTCCCAACGTTGTTTGATTGCTTCTGCGGTTGAGGGAGGGAAGGGAAGAAGGAAATTATTAGTTTGAATAACCTTGGTAATGCGACGCCCTCCTCCCCTGCTACTTCCGAACCACTTGGAAATGACACCGAAGCGACACGGTTCCCCTCATCTTTTCTTTCCTTCCGCTTCTTTTTTTTGTCCATTCAATTTCCTCCTCCCCCTCCTTTTGCCACAGCCCAATGGGTTAAGAATAGGCGGTAAAAAACGGTCGAGTCTTTCAAGTTCGAATCGTTTTTGAGTGCTTGAGTTGGGTGGAAAAAAATGATGGGGAACTTATATTGCATTGCTCTTTTTTTTTAAAGGAAAGAGAAAGTTTGAAAGAGAAAAACTGAAACTTTTTCCAAATGGAACATGAAAAAAATCTTTCGAAAGCTTTAAAAGTTTCAAATTTTGTCAATTTTAGCTCACAGTGGTCCCTATAGGGGCAACCTTAGAGGCTCTTGGAGGTCCGCTCTAGGGACCACTTCACCAGCCCCTATAGGGTCCACTAAACCTTCCAAAAGTGGTCCCTATAGGGACATACTGGTCGGTAAATGTTATGAACTGAAAGCGAAGAAGCATTTTCATGGGAAAAACTGAATAAAAAAAGCGGTTTTTTTAAAGGAATTGAAAGACCCCTATAGGACCCACTTGAGCTTTAGGGGCTAAGGGATCATACCTTAAATACCTAAGAGATCATACCTTAAACCCATACCTCAAGGTGCTGGAAATCACCTCAAAGTCTCCCAGATCCTCTAAAAATTCAAAGACGTTAAATTACTTTAAACTTGAAATTCTTCCAATTCGAAATTAAGCTTCAAAAAAACGTAATTAAGAAAATGGGGAAGCATTTTTTGAAGAAAAAGGGCAAGAAAATCCTTTCCAAACCACCTTGCCGCTTTTTATTCTATATACTTTGCCACTTCCTTCCGTCAAATCAATAAATCAACGATAAGAACCCCCCGAAAAGCCGCCAAACGATGTGTAAGCAGATCATTCTCATCGCAAAGGCAAGCGATCCAAAAAAAAAGAAAGAAAAAAAACCACGAGGCAACGGCGCAGAAAACTATATGCAAAGGCGTCGACCGAAGAGGCTTGGAAGAAAAAAAAACTAGAAACAAGCTTACAAAACACAATTGTCGAATGGGCCGCGAGGCGTTCCTCCTGGCAAATGGCCGAAAAAGAGAAGACGTTTCTTTGAAAATGGCTGGAAAATGGTGAGGGGACAAGCTGGTACTCGAGTAATGGGCAAACGGGTCGAGGTGAGCTTTTAGGAGGTCTTTTTTGGATGAGAATATTGCGATAACACTGATGGGCCAGCTCTTTACTGGAGTGATTTCTTATTCAGAAAGAGAAGAAAAATGCCAAAATTCGTATAAAAAGAAAGTGTCTTAAAATAAATTTAAGATGTTATTTGTGGTTTTTCCGAGAGAGCATCATTAAAAACTTAAAATGATTTCTCTAGAAATCGAAAAATCCGCTAGAGTGAGTTCATTGAAACTTCATAATTTCAACGATATCTGAAAGTTTTTTTCGAAACCTTCGACTTTCCTTCTGGCAAATGGCCGAAAAAAAGAAGACTTTTCTTTGAAAAATGGCTGGAAAAAGGGTGGGGGGAAAGGACAAGCTGGTACTCGAGTAATAGACAAACGGGTAAAGGTGAGTTTTTAGAAGGCCTTTTTGATGAGAAAACTTGGGTAAACAGAGGTAAAGCTTTTGAAAAAAGGCCAAAAGAGTTATCCTTCTCTAAAAAAAATGGGAAAGACCTTCCTGAAGCCCTTTACTACTCAGATACTCAGAAAATGAAAAAAAGATGCAAATTTAAAAAAAGGTTCTTCTTAATTTTTTTGAAGAAGTAGAAAAAAATTCTTTTCGAGATTTTTTTTCAATGTTATAAAATTCAAAAACGATTCTTCTAGATATAAAGAATCCGAGGCCTTCTTATAAGCAAAAATTTTCTTCGGGCAAACGGTCAAAAAAGAAGAATTTCTTTGAAAATACTTTAGGAGATGCTTGTGCTCGTTTAACTTTTCTAAACGGGTTTAGAAGAGCTTTTGGGAAGTTTTTTTTGAATAAAATAATCTCGGCAGATACCAAAGAAGCCCAGGAAATATTAGAAAAAGCATTCTAAAATTGATAAATCCAAAAAAAAAACTTCCTGGATCATTTTAAAGGTTTTTTCTTCAGGTAAGTGAAAAAAATGGTGAATTTTTTTTTCGGAGTCTTTTTTACACCTATTCTTTTCAAATATAACTAAAAAATCCCTTCAAAACTCAACATCTCCAAAAAACCAGTTCAAAACATCAAAACCATCCTTTCAGTGGCAATTTCTGTCAAAAAAAAGCAAATAATTGAGATAAATTGAGTGGAACCACGCGAATTTCAAAAAAAGTCTCGAAAAAAAAAAAAAATGTAAATAGGCAGTCATTTTCTTGGTAACCGAAACGGGGAAAGTGACGCAACCGAACAGCTGGAAACGGGAAGAAGACGAAGGAAAAAAAAAACGATTAGAAATAGAAATTGGCCGTTTCCACAGCCGTAGTGAAACGTTCCCATTGCGATGGAAGCTTGGTGATTCGTTTCGACAAAAAAAAAGAAAGGGCTCGGTTAAAAAAAACGTTGAAAAAATCGCCGTCTAGTTAGGGAAGGTCGTCTGTCCATAGTCTCAAAAAAAAAAAAACTAATTTCGTACTGTAATCACTTTTTTATTGTATATAGTCTGTTCAGATTTTGAATGTCAAGTCGTCGCTCAAGCTCCGCCCCTAATGGCGCAATAAACCAATCAGAGAGCGAGCCATCCACAGAGTGTTTTTGAATGACGTCATTGCACTTGACATTAAAAATCTGAACGGACTATAGCTTCAAAAAATCGTTCAGAGTTCTAATATTCCAAATTTTGCTAGGAAATTTTCAAATTCATATCTCACCAGCCAGGTGTCACTAATAAAACTCAGAAAATCACAAGCATCTAAGAAAATTTTAGGGGTTCAATAAGGACCTCGCTATTTAAGGGCCCCGATAGGGGCTAAGGAGCTTCCCTTAAACCCCCTTAACGATTCGGGACCCCTATAGGGGTACCTTTAAAAAAAAATTGTTTCAGGGGCGTTGGTTGGAAGAGTGAGGGACGAATGAGAGGAAGCGAACTTCAGTGAAAATCTGATCCTGGCCCCTATAGTGGCTTCTTTAAATTCAACTCCTATAGGAGGCCCTAAACCAGATTTTCGGGGCCCAAATAGAGGTTGAGTTAGGGATCCCGGGGCGCCTTTTTTTTTTGACTTTCGAAAATTATTATAACTCCTCATTGATTGAGAAATCCAATGAAAACATGGGAAAATGTGAAAAAAAAGTAGAAAAAAGTTCTTTATCTGCTGTCGGAACTAGCTTCCCTCACAGTTTGACCTTCTTACTTTTGAGAAAACTTGTTTTTTTGATCCAAAATTTTTGAGCGAGACATCTAAAAACCTCGTTAGAATTCCCAAAAAAAGACCAAAACAGATCGAGAAAAAAAAGAATAAATTT